AGATCTGTCCTTCAAGACTCTGAGACTGCCAGTCTTTTCACCTCGGAGCCGGCGGATGGTCTGCCAGAATGTTGCATCCTTCTTGCTAAAATTCGCATCAGTCAAAGGGCTAGGTGAAGTGCTGCATCGTAAAGCTCATTATCCGTGGCGGCTATGGATTTTGCCCCCCCCCTTCCTCCCTGGTTTTCAGAGTTTTCCGCTAACTTTGAAGTGGTCTATTAAGAAAACTTGATAAACGGCAATACAGACTAACATATCTCTTGCTAGAATGAAAAAATATTTTCGGTAGTACGGTGGTGATATAACTAAATCAAACTGACCGGAAATGTTTATTTGTTCTTAAAAAGAGCATGGGAAGAGGTAGTGAAGGACTGTACTACTAGTTGGTATTGCAATATTCGAGTGCGATCAACCGAGAAATGGATCATCTGTGACAGCTGATGTGTGAACAGTATCGATGGCAGCGTTATGACATGGTCATGCCAAAGCGTTTGACACTTACGCTACGTTCCTTGAGGCGTTTGCCTAACTGCTGCAATTCGTTTTGATCATCCTTGTCGCATACCATAATATTATGATCATAAAAGTTGCAGATCTTACATTTTCTTTAAAAAATAACTTGATAGCAGGGGCATCGCTACTGGAGTAGAAAACTAGAAATGCCGTTATTCTTGCTGTTGCAAATTTTCACTTTCTGTGTTTATGTCATGGAAACATTTTTATTGAATTTTCTTTCTTTTGAATCTTCCGTTTCTGATGTTCCTTTTTATATAGTCCTTATCAGATCGTGACATCATGGTAATAGATTCATAAATCAGTGCAGATTTATACCGTAGTGCAAATCTTAGGCTACATTTTGTTTAACCTCTGCTAATATGAAAGCGTATAGATTCGACGATGAACGAAGCGACGTCGAGAGCGACGAGTGGCCGAAGATTGAAAAGCGAAGGAAGGCTCGTGAAGTGGCCAGCAGTTCAGCAACTATGAATCCGAAGCAAAAGTTGAAAAGTGAGCTTAACTAACTGTTGCTGCTAAGTATATTTTGTCTCGTTACACGTTTTTTGGTTCTTTTAAATGTGCTTTCCTCGTCCTCATCAACGTTTTTTGACTCAGTGTTGAACGTCATCAAACTCTGTGTCCAGAAAAACTTCCTCATGCTCCACAAACTTCTTGACGTTGTTTTCTCGTTGGCCTGA